GGGAGTGAACGTTCAGTTCTTACATTTTTATTAGCAATTGTATAGAACCATGAATCTTTCTAATCCTATAATTCAGTAAAAAAAACACTCAATAAAGGAGGGGCTAGTAGCCCACATCCAGAGCATAAAGAGGCTGCAGGATTAGGAAGGGCTAGTAGTCCATGGTTAAAAAGCCCAAGTGAGTAGTTCAAGGTTTAAAGGTTTAGGCTAGTGAAAGGGGCTTGAGAAATGAATATTAGGAGAAGTTAAGCTTGAGGCTGGGAAGTAGAAGGAAGCTAGAGTTGGGCAGAAAATAGCATCTTCCAGAGTGTGAACAAATCTAGGCTACTTTCATTTCTTTGCCCCAGCTGAAGCACTATAGCAGAATATGTAAGTTCTAGCGTTGATGATCAAGGTAAAGGTTTGAGGCATAGAGATGGATGTTTGAAGTGCAGGTTTCTAACGTTCTTCTTTTGTGAAAAGAGGTAAAAATGTTTGCTCTTGCTTGAGGACAAAGCAAGATTTTAAGTTTGGAGGTGTGATAACTCTCCAAAAAAGAGTTATTCTAGTGTTTATTTGGGTGAACATGTGCATTAAAATGTCAAAGTGTGTCGGTTTTAGGTTATAATTAGCACAAATAGTGTTTAATTGCAAACTCATAGCTAAACATACTTAGTCTTGAGAACTTCGGCCAAAACAGCATGAACTCTCGTATTTGTGGTTCTTTTGCACAGGTTTTTAAGGAAGAGCCGAGAAGAGAAAGAAGTGTGGAACCAGAGAGGAAAAGCCAAAGTATTGTCAAGTCGAAGCATATAAAATCTGGAGCATAGTGATACCAGGGCATGGGTGTCCGTACAATTACTTTTAAAACACGGGATTCACTTATATCCGTATAATCCCCAGTCAGGTGTCCTAAAAACAGGACCCAATATTTAAAGGAAAGGTTTCCCTAGCTGACGGACACGCAGATCCCAAGGGAGATAAACTTTAAGAGCTGAAAAGACCAAGGGAGGGAATATACCCATTTTCGGGAGGAGAGCTAACGCCAGAAAGGGGAAGCTCGTCTGCTGCTTTACGCTGACTGCTCTTTTTCTCTGTCATTTAACTAATTTTCTACTATGGGTTGTATTTCTTCTTCTTCCATTTTGTTTTCTTCACCCATTATGAGCTACACTCCATTTTGGGGGAGGTTCACACGCTGTAACTGACTTGAGACCGAATCTCTAGCATACTACATTTATTTTTAAGCAAATCTGAATTTATTACTCAATTCTTCGCGTTACTGTTGGCCGTTGTTTCGTGTATGCTAGCTCCGATATTGACTCGGAAGGGCTTGTGGGTGCTGATTTGTTTTGCTTGTGATTAACGCTTTTCTATAGCTACAAGGATACTCAGGAATGGGGTCTCCTAATCATGCCTATAGTTTGGATTTATTGCTTGGGTATTTAGCAAGGAAGTTGTATTTACTCATGTTTGGGGTGTCTCGGAAGGGAACCGAGTCGAACTGGCTACTAATAAATGTTAGCTACGCTAGAGTATAGGTTGATAACGTGTTAAAGTATGCTGAATCTCCCCCGCCACCTTCATATCTTTTAATCCCCCATTATCGCTTCCTGTGATACTATTTCCTTGTGTCGATAGCCTTGAAACTGTTGTCTCTTGCAACGTTATGTCATCCTATTATTCCTTTGTTTTAATTCTTCTAGATAATATTCATACTCAACTCTGTATATTTTTTAATTGTTGGTATATGCTTTTATCATTAAAATATAAACCAAAAATCCATGTGGATACGATCTCGTTACGTACTACAATTGACTATTCGTGTATACTTGCACGCATTGTCGACATAGTTGTGTGGATGCAACAGTATGACAGTGTAGTAACTCGTTGCATTTGATTTTTACCGCGTTCGTACAGCTTCCGGAGGGTGCCCTAAATTTTAAGGACCCGGTATATAAGGAAAGTATACCCTGGCCGCAAAAGGGGGATAGACGTGTGCTTGCTTGTGGGTCACACTATGCTCTTAAGGAAGCTTTTTATACTCTGCGATCTGCATAAACGATGGAGACCACTTATGTCTTTTCCATTTCTTGTCTCTTTTCCATTATGAACTAGACCCCACCTTCGGGGGATAAGCTTGTTATAAATTTCATGTTTGCTACATTTTAGGACCTTAATAGTGACTTAATAGAAGTGTGGTTATCTTTTCATCTCCCTAAATTCTTGTGGCCAACTTATTTAGTGTGCTTACTTGCTTGAGGCTCGGGAGAGTCCTTGTTGAGTGTGTTTACTTCTTTTAGCTGCCTCTCTTTGAAGTAGAATGGTGAATACTCAGGGATGAGGTTCACCCTACTGTGCCTATAGATTGATTTTATTGCTTGTTTTGATCACGACAGGAGTTCGGTTAAAGCATGTTTGGATATCTCGGGGCCATGACAGTCTGGGAAATCAACATTTTTGGTCTAGAAATCACCTGCTGTGTTCCAAGCTTTTGTTTCTTATTTTTATGTCAATTTAAATATACCAGTGTGATTTAACCAATATTTAATTTTTCTCGTTGGTATTCTGAAATCATTAAATCTAATTATAGTCTATTTCCCTGAGGAGACAACCTTGTTTTTATACTACAATGGGGTGTTTAGCGTATACTTGCAATATTTTTCTCGTAGTTGTGAGCAAACAAGTTTTTGGCGCAGTTGTCGGGGAAATAGATTTCATATTTTGATTTTTTAAATTTTGGAATATGGTGTTTAAAGAGTCCCTCACTTTTATTTCTGGTGAGTTGTGTAGTGATGAACGATTTCCCTACATTTAAATTTTCTGATGACCAAGAACCATATACGTGAAGACGAAGAAGGGCTAAACATAGAGTACAGTGTAGGGAGTTGCAATGAATCTGAATGCACCAATTCAGCCTGAATTGGAAGTGGACGGGATAGAAGGGGTTGGAGCTGGCCAAGCTGTGTCAGTACCTCCCCTGAATGTTGTCCTGCTCTCTAATGACACAGAGCAGGAGATTAGAGCATATACGGCTCCAGCTTTCTATGACTTCAATCCCGTAATTGCATATCCTATAATTGAAGCTAATAGGTTTGAGTTGAAGCCAACAATGTTTCAAATGCTCCAGACCGTAAGACCATTCCATGAGCTTGTATCAGAAGATCCTCACAGCATTAATGATATTTTATGCAAGTGGCAGATTCATTCAAAGTAGAAGGAGTCAGTAAGGAGTCTATGCGCTTGAAGTTGTTGCCTTACTCTCTGCAGGACCTTGGTTGGACTATTTACCTGCCTAGTCTATTACTTCATGGAAAGATTTGGCTGATAAATTCTTGATGTAGTACTTCCCACCTTCTAAAAATACATGGCTAAGAAGAAAAATCAATAACTTTCAACAGCTTCCTGGAGAATCCTTAAACGCGTCATGGGAAAGATTTAAAGGATTGCTCCAGAAGTGCCCTCATCATGGAATACCATGTCGTATCCAAATTGAAACTTATGATAACAGACTGAACTAGGCTACACAGTTCGTGATAGATGCCTCAGCGAATAGAGCATTGTTGTCAAAACCATATGGAGAGCCTTTTAATATTTTGGAGAGAATTTCGCGCAACAAGCATCAATGGTCGAAATCAAGGGATGCATCATCGACAACATCTAAGGGCTTAGTGGCAAAGGATGCAATAGCAGACCTGAAATCGAAGATCTCCAGGCTAGCTGATATAGTAATGAAGAATGCAACTTGAGGTGAGGTTGGAGCGTCCAAGGAATGTTGTGCAGAGTACGCTATGTTCATATTTATGTTTTAGGGTTTGAAGAATGAAATTTTGATATTTTTGTCATGATAAATTGAAACTTTCTTATTCGTATATAGTCTACTTTTTCCTTTTGTGGTACACTTTCTTCCCCTAACTAACTTACCCTACCCTTATTCTGTCCAAAAAAAAAAAAAAAATCCTTACCCTACCCTTATAATATAAGCGAAAAAGTTAAACATATCGCTTTGAGGAGAAAGTACCATTTTTATCTCAACAAAAAATAAAAAATAAAAAGAAAAATCTATTGCCATATGAGAAATAAAAATTTTCCCAAATCACAAATCCTTCCCCATATCACAATTCTCCTCCCAAATAGCAAATCTTCGCCAACAAAATTTCTCAAATCGAAAATTTTCCACTGTCACTGTAACCACCTACTCGATTTGGAGTCAGTAGAAGATAGAAAATGGACCCTCTGTATCTGTCGAACTGATCCATGTCGAGCTTAGATGAACGAACCATACCAGCCGACTTGAGGAATCCAACCTCAATCCCAACCACTGACCTTGGGGTCTGACAGCCGTAACTGCCGATTGGAATGGCTCCATCGGCCTTGTCTCTCCCAGCTGCCTATAAAAATGACACTCCACCCCATGAATCATGTACGCAATTCTTCCGAGAACAACTTGACACAACTCGAGCACACACTAACTTGGACATCGGAGTGTTTGTTCCTTGTGCAGGTTTCATCGAGATCGCACCTAGGAGCTCATCCTCGTTAGCTCATGAACCAACCTGTGAGCTTGACGGAAAACAGCATCAACACCTTGCTAATCTCCAAAAATTATGTAAAAAAAAATAAAAAAATCATTTGAAGGTCAGCTGCTTTTGTTATAAAAAAAATCTGGACCAATGTCGTGTCTGGGTAAGATTTTAAACAGCAGTATTTTTTAAATGGTTTAGAATATTTTTAAAAAATAACTTTATTTTTACTAATGTTTAAAAAAAATCCCTAAAGACCGACCATTTTTCTTGAATATTGAAAAAGAAAAAAATCTGAAACACGCCAAACGACAGGGGCTTAAAACACGCCTTGGTTAGTAGTTGCCGACCTCCCAATTAAAGCCACTAAAAAAAAGAAGGAAAAAAAAAACAGTTGAAAACTTGAAGTCGCTAAAATTTCCCACTAAACTAATTGCTTAGCCATTACGTTCTCTTCCTTCTTTCTCTTTCTCGTCCATTCCGTGTTTGGAGCCAAAGAAAATTCCCCAGAAAAAAAAAAAAAAAAGAAAAACTTTGTCTCTCTCTCTTCAACAGCCGTTTGGCAGACGATAGAATGGCGAAGTCAAAAAGTCCATGTGGGTGTATTGGATTGGTTTCGTCGCAGTCTACTCCGGATTTCCATAAATACTCTCACTCTCCACACAATTTTCTTTCATTCTTCTTCTTCCACCGCTTCGAGCTCCTCTCTCTCTCGCCTCATTATTGGACCCTTTTCCAGTTCGGTTAAGATCCTAATTTAAGGTAACGGTTTCATACGATTTCCCCCACATCCTTCGCATTTTTAATTTTAATTTTTTGTTTCTTCGATTTTTCCTTATTTGTTTATGTGGTTCAGGACCGTATGTCCTATTGAATTTGCTTTTCTCGTTGGCAATTTGCGTAATTGTGTTGTGTTGTATTGAATCCGGTTCTTGAAGCGGCAACGGAAAATTTTTGAGATTGAGATTCGATTTTAACCTTTTCCTTTGGAAATTGGAATCCAGTTCTTACTCTTTAGTTTACCAAATCAATAATGCACGTTTCGGATCTGATTATGTTCGTAATTGCTTAGTTATGGTGGAACGTCCTCTCCTCTTTATTTAGTTTTATCGCAGTTTTTACGTTTTGAAACAAATCTTTATTACATCGATGAGAATGCCTTTGTTTGAATCTCAATCGCATTCCTTTTTGGGGCATGGATCTTCTTATTCCATCAATATCTATAGAGAAAATAAAGGCTCCTGTATGGATTATTATTTTTTATTTTTTTGAATTTCGAATTCGTTCATAGTATTCCTGATTCGAAATCTCGAAAATATATATTAAATAGAGATTTCTAACTGATAGAAGATGAAATCGATTCTTTTGGATTAAGAAGTACGTTTAGCCAATTTTAGACTTCACTGCGGTGCTGCTCTTGATTAATTATAGGTCTATAATTGTTTAAGTCACTTCACTTCTGCTTTTTTTCCCCTTCTGTTTGTTTTATTTTGCTGTCTGAAGTTCAAATAGGGACATTTTCAGTTGATTATTTCCTGCTGTCTAATTTGATCAGGTGCAGTTTCTATTGAAAATCTAAGTTCATTTGGGAACGAAGATTTCAAGTTTGAACTTCTTGTGAAATTCAACGAGATGGCTGATGGATCTGAACATAACCCTATCATAGAGGATGAGAAGACAAAGTTTGAACTTGATTCTGAAGCTGTTAAGCTAGAAAAAGAGGTCGGGAAAGAAGATCTAGAGGTCAAGATCAAGAACAAGGAGGCAAAATATGAAGATGGAAAAAAAGAGAAGACAGAGGTTGAGCTTGAACTCAAGTCCTCGTCGGTGCGAAAAGAGAAAACAAAGGATAAAAAGGATAAGGTAGGTGAAGATTCAGAAACTGAGGGGAAGAAGAAAAAGGAAAAGAAGAAAGAGGGAAAGCACAAGAACAAGGATGAAGACAAAGATGAAAAGGAAGAAAAAAAGAAGAAGAAAGATGAGGATGATGGAGAAGCAGAGAAGAAAGAAAAGAAAGATGAAAAGCACAAAGACGGGAAATCTGGGGAGAACGACAAAGGGAAGGAAAAGAAAGGAAAGAAGAAGAAAGATGAGGATGTAGACAGTTGCGAAATGGAAGAGAAGAAAAAAGAAAAGGACAAGAAAGTGAAGAAAAAGGTCGAGGACGAAGAAGACGATGATAAAGAAGAGAAGAAGAAGAAGAAGAAGAAGAAAGAAGAGAAGGATGAGAAGAGTGTTGAAGTGAATGAAAATGATGGAGAGCAGAACAGAGATGAGGATGATGGCAAAGAAGAAAAGAAGAAGAATAAAGAAAAGAAAGAAGAGAAGAAAAAGGACAAGGATGGGAAAGTAAAGGAGAAAGGAGAGAAGAAGAAAAAAGATAACAAAAAGTTAGAAGGTGAAGAAAAGGAGGACAAAGATGAGAAGAAAAAAGACAAGGATGAAGCAGAAGATGAAAAAGAAGAGAAGAAGAGAAAGAAGGAGAAGAAGAAAGGGAAGCACGAGGGCGAGGAAGACGAGACTGAGACTGAACCTCAAGCTTCCAGCACGAGGGAAATTGAAATTAAGGAATCTGAGAATGAATCAAAGGGAGAAGAGGAGAAGAAGGACAGTGAAAAGAAGAAGAGCAAGAAAGATAAGGAAGAAAAGAAGAAGAAACTTGATGGGAAAGGCAAAAGCAGAGATGTAGGGAAATTGAAACAGAAGCTAGAAAAGATTGATGTTAAAATAAATGTGTTACTGGAGAAAAAGGCAGACATTATGAGGCAAATAACAGACGCTGCAGACGCTGAAGATGCTCAGAAATCTACGCAAGTGCCATAATTCGGAGGTTGCTGTTGCACTTGCTGCTATGTTGTTTTCACAACGATCGTGTAATATTATAATATGACCTTATTTCTAAGGTTTTCCTTGTCTTTGTTTCAATGAGTGCATGTGTACTGTGATATATAGATGGTTCAAATACTATTTTGTCCCTCTACTAGTTCATTTTAGTCCGTGTAATTTGAAAATGTTCATTTTGGTGACTATTCTTTTAGTTCTTATAATTTGAAAATGTTCATTTGGTCTCTGTACTTTTAAAAGTGATCATTTTAGTCACTCTTCACAAGGTTTTAACACAGTTTACACATAAGAAAAAATATTTAGTATAAAGTAATGTTTACATTGTAATATATATATTGATTATAATGTGGTATTGAAATTGTGATAGAAAAAATGAGATTTAAAATAAAATGAAAGAACTAAAATGGTTCATTTTTTAAAGTACAAGGACCAAAATGAATATTTTCAAATTATAGTGATTAAAATAAATCAAAGTAAAAAGTATAGGGACTAAAAATAACCTTTTAAAAGTATAAGGAACTAAAATTAACCAATGTCAAATTATAGTGATTAAAATAAATCAAAGTAAAAAGTATAGGGACTAAAAATAACCTTTTAAAAGTATAAGGAACTAAAATTAACCAAATCTGAAAGACATGGATCAACCTACTATTTTAACTTATTAGATATATAATTATAATGATTTTTTTCAGTGTCGTTTTAATGTTCAGTGTTCTGGAATAATGGACTTGTCAGAGGGAGGGTAGGAATTTAGGGTGTTGGAATTAATCTAATTAATTCCATTAAATGAATAACAAGTTATGATAAATTATATGTAAGGGTTATGGTCTCTAATATACTATGCTACTTTAGTCTCTTATTCCCCATCTAACAGGGAGTATTTTCCATCTTAGGTCTAAGACAAACCACACAGATATTACTACAGTAATTTGGAATCTCTACTCATGATCCAGGTAATTCGAAACAACTTAAGGTTTTTTATTTTTTTTTATTTTGTTCTTTTGTAATTTAATTTTTTATAAGTATTTTACATATTTATAATCTATTATAAATATTTTGGACATTAAAGGTACGGAGGACTGTTTACTTTTTCCTTTTAAATTGTGCTAATTAAAGGTTGACTACTAAGGTCAATACATTTATATTTCATTTATTGGTAGAACAATTTATCTAATTTCTTTGAATGTTTTGATGCATGAAATATGCTACCAAAGTAGTCTCTATTTTATAAATTGGAACATTTAAAGTTCTTAGATGTAGTGTATTTGCTGCTTATGCGAATTGTGATTGGCCCAAAGTAAGGTTGCAATTTGACCAAACAACAAACACACATACAATAATAAATATGGATAACATAAGATTGTGTTCTTGAAATTGTTAGTCGGCTCAAAGGAAGGCTATCATCTAAAAAGAACAAGTTATTAATGTTTTATTATTGTACTGAGAGTGTCACTAGCAAATTAACATTTTTGTCCAAAGACTGAATGTAGATGTTGCATTAGGTATATCACTTGTCCTCGTAAAGTTTATTTAGAATGTCATTAATATATATATATATATATATATCTCTGTGTGACATTACTTACTATATTGAGCTCGTGTTCTTTATACGTTGCTAATTCTGATAATATGTCCACTCAAGTCAACAATATTCTCAGACTGAATGAGACTAATTTTAAGGACTGAAAAGAAGACATCCAGATAGTACTTTGGTGTATGGATTTAGACCTTGCATTAAGGGTAGACCGTCCTACTTCAATTGAGGAAAATCCTAATAAGGTTGAAATTGAGAAGTGTGATAGGTCTAATCGCATGTGTCTAATGATCATGAAGCGTTCAACTCCATAAACATGTAGAGGTTCTATTGTTGAGGGAACGAATGCCAAAGGCTTTCTAAAGGAAATGGAACAGTACTTTACCAAAAACAATAAGGCAGAGGCGAGTACCTTTACGGCAAAACTCACCTCTTCAAGACACGTTGGTAAAGGAAACATAAGGGAATACATAATGCAGATGTCAAATGTTGCAACAAAACTTAAGGCACTAAAGTTGGAAGTTTCTGAAGACTTTTTAGTGCATTTGATATTGAACCCTCTTCCAGTAGAGTATAACCACTTCAGGGTGAGTTACAACACTTAGAAGGACAAATAGTCCCTGAATGAGCTAATCTCTCACTGTGTTCAAGAGGAAGAGAGGATGCAGCGAGAGAAGACAGAAAGTGTTCACATAACTTCTACCTGTTTGAGTGTAATGAGAAAGAGAACGAATAATGCTGCAGAATCTTCTAAGTAGAAAAAGGAAAAGAAATAGGATTCATGACCTGCTTGTTTCTTCTGTAAGAATACTGGGCACATGAAAAACAAGTGTGCCAAATATGCTGATGACTATTGAAGAAGGGTATGTTTCTCTCCCTTATTTGTTCTGAGATTAATCTAGCTTCTGTACCTAAGCATACGTGGTGGGTAGATTCAAGTGCTACTACTCACATAAGTGTATCTATGCAGGGTTGCATTTGGAGCCGACCGCCAAGTGATGTTGGGGCTTTCATCTACGTGGCTGACGGTAATAGGGCAAAAGTAGAAGCAATAGGAACAGTTAAATTATCATTAGGAACTGGTTTTCATTTGGATTTGTTTGTGACTTTTGTTGTTCCGTCATTTAGATGGAATTTAATTTCTATTTCTTCATTGGACAAATTTGGTTATTCTTGTTCATTTGGAAAGAAAAAACTAAGTCTTTTGCATAATTCAAATATTATTGGTATTGGTTCATTGATTGATAATTTATATATGCTTGATAATGTTCCTTTTGATAATGAAACCTTGCATGTTTCATCACGCGGTACAAAGCGAAAATTAAATGAAACTTCTGGTACATTATGGCATAAACGATTAGGACATAACTCTAACACTAGAATTAAGAGACCCGTGGATGAAGGAATTCTTGATTCACTTGACCTAACAGATCTTCAATTTTGTGTTAATTGTATCAAAGGAAAAGAAACAAACAAGAGGAATGTAGGTGCTGAAAGAGCTGAAGAAGTCCTAGAACTGATACATACTGACATATGTGGATCATTCCCTACGACTTCATAGAGTGGACAACAATATTTTATCACGTTCATCGACGATTATTCAAGATACTGCTACCTATATTTAATTCATGAGAAATCTCAAGCTCTGGACATGTTCAAATCTTTTAAAGTAGAAGTTGAAGTTCAACTTAACAGGAAAATTAAAACCATTAAATCTAATTGTAGAGGAGAATATTATGGTCGATATGATGGATCAGGTGAACAACGTTGAGTACCTTTTGCGCTTTTCCTTGATCAATGTGGCATAGTTCCTCAGTACACGATGCCTGGGAAACCTAGCATGAATGGAGTTGCTAAGAGGCGAAATAAGACTCTTAAAGATATGGTAAGAAGTATGATTGCTCATTCTTCTTTGTCAGAAAGAAGAAATGCAATACCAGATGATTATATTGTATTTCTTAAAGAACATGAGGATAACATTGGCCTTACAGAAAATGATCCTATCAATTTTCAACAGGCAATGAAAAGTTCTAAGGTAGATAAATGGATTGAAGCTATGCAAGATGGATGAAATCCATGAGTGACAATGACGTCTAGGATCTAGTTGAGTTGCCTGCAGGAAAGAAACCTATGGGTTGTAAATGGATATTTAAAACCAAAAGGGATTCAAAAGGCAACATTAAAATATATAAAATACGTCTTGTTGCAAAAAGTTTCACTGAAAAGAAAGGCATAGATTATAAAGAGACTTTCTCTCCAGTTTCCTCGAAAGACTTTTTTAGAATTATTATGGCACTGGTAGCACATTTTGACTTAGAGTTACATCAGATGGATGTTAAGATAACTTTTCTCAATGAAGACATTGTTGAAACCATTTACATGGAGCAACCATAGAACTTTGAATTAGGAAATCCAAAGTCAATGGTTTGCATACTAAAAAAATTCATCTATGGACTCAAGCAAGCTTCCCGTCAATGGTACCACAAGTTTCATAATGCCATTACTTCTTTTGATTTGAAGCTAATGTAATTGAGGAACGTGTGTACTGCAAGAACAGTGGGAGTTTGGGACGCAGGGTTGTGTAACCAAAATTTGGATAACTTGTGTTTCAGGTGCAATGATAGGTAGCCTAGGTTTGGGTAGTCTGACTTTTTTTTAGCTGTTTTTTCATGTGTTATTTAGCAAAATGTTCAATCCTTGATTTAATCTAAGACAATTTAGTAAGAATCAATTAATCCATCCATTTTGAATTTTGTATTTCTTAATTCTTATATTTTATAACTACAACACAAATTAAATTCTAAACTCAATCAAATTGTCCAGAGTAATTTGGAGCAAAATTTAATATTGATATCGTAGTTTTAAGAGTCATTGGAACACAGAAAGTGGTTTACATAATTATAACAATGGTTCAAAATATGTATAATTTTCAATGAATGATTTAAAGATAAGAATATTAGCTTTTTATGGATTTATTCATATTAAAATTATATATGTTGAGGGCAAAAACTGAGCACGATGCGTGTCCACTTCAGGAGAGGAATGAGACCACATACAGTTACAGACCATATGAGGATGCTACCGAGCAGGACGCGTGTCCTCCCACAGAAGAGCGTGTGGGACCACATACGGTTATATACCGTACGAATTGGCAGCAGGAGACGCACATTTCCAATACGGATGGCGATCTCCCAATTGCAGGCGACAAGCCTCAGAACTACAGGGGATGCCGCCACTCGCCAGCTGTCGGATCGTAACCCTTGACAGTCACAGTACCATGCGGTGCGCCCCTGGAACCCTCAACCGTTGTCCTTCCTGGTCGGCCACCTGAGGCACCCTCACCTTCGTCGAGTAAATGAAAAACCTGTCACTCACACTTCCGGTATCTTTTTCCTATTTCCCACTCCAATTACTGACTTGATCATCAGAGTGTCTTAGACGGGCCACCGCACCAGCGTTGATTCTTTGTTGCATGTCTTATTATTAGTCCGTAGGACACGTGGCCTCTTCTCGAAATTTACTGTCAACAATAAATATATATATGTGTGTATGTATGTATATATATGTGTGTATGTATGTATCAATATATATGTAAAATAGATATCATAGTTTTAAGAG